TGGTGATTGTTGATCTCGTGCTCTGGGCAAGAAGCGCTTCAATATGTTGGTTAACGAAACCAAAGCCAAACATGCATGCATCGGCAAGCGCATACGCAGAACCGACGTAAGAAACACCGCATTGGAGGTGGCCACCCGTTCTGGGCAGCTCTAGGTGCGCACTTGAAGGGCAATGAGCAAGTGGAGCAACATGAAGAATAGCCATGCTTAACAGCACAATCGTATCAGTAGCAATAGCAGCAGTAGTCGTGGCAATCGTCGTTACAACAATGGTTGTGCGCCCCAGTTGGATGTGACGCGTCCCCACGACGGACTGGACGAGGGTGGGCCTTTTCGGCCCTCTTCCCTCCTCCCTTCTCCCTCCCCGTCGTATTTCCGGGGCTGGAGCTGCAGGAGGATAGAGAATGATGAGGAAGAGGAGATGGAAGTGGTGGGTGGAGGAGGTCGAGGGGATGATCATACTTTGGCGGTGCAGGTGCGATCGCTGTTCCATATCCCTGTCTCGCCTCCTCATCCTCCACATTCTCTCCTTCTCTTGAGCTGGAGGGCTGCGTATAACGAACGGACACACACCAAAACAAATAATCGCGAAGCGCAAAGCATGAAGTGATCGGGTACTCAGGGCTGAACAGGCTAGTGAAACGATAACGGAACAAGCCCCACAGCAACTACGCATACACACGCGTGCGCATCACTACTTACTCCAGCCTCCCAACGTCCCACCGTCCCTCCTCTCCTCGCCCCACGCAGGTGTATGGGCGTACACTCACCGGGAAAGGCCACTAGAGGCGAGGGCGAAGCAACAAACGAGCAGCAACGCCGCAGAAGAGCTGGTCCTGGTGGACCCGGAACGTGTGGCCCCAGTTGTCTTCGTACCTGGGAGGCCAGAGGCGGCACGCGCGCGGCGGGGATCGGGGCTTCGCCACGCCAGCGGGGCCACAGCCGTGCCGAGCAGGGCCCCTCTGTTACCCCCTCCTCTTCCTCCTCCTCCTCCTCCTCCTCCTCCTCCTCCTCCTCCTCCTCCTCCTCCTCCTCCTCTCCCTTCTCTCCGCTCCCCTCCCCCCCCCCATGCTGCTGCCCCTCCTGCTGCTTGCTCCGCGGAAGGCCGACGGCGGCCGACGCCTGTACAATCCCAGCAGCTATTCAGGGCGCGAGTGGTTTGGAGAGCTTCCTTTTCCAACCCCCATCTTCCCCTTCGGGGAGAGGGCTTCACCCCTCCCCCTCCCCCCTCTCCCTGGACGTGGAGGGGGCGTCTAGAATTGCACCCTGATCCTGAGGCCTCCGGTACTTCGCGGGGCTTCCTCCCGACGTGCGGGCTTGCAAAGGCGCGGGCGCGGGGACCACCACCCGCAGCGCTGCCTCCTGCGTCCTGTCCTCCCGACGTGGGCCCTGCACGGCTCCCGACCCACCCCCAGAAACCGCGCCTCCGCCGCAGGTCGTGGCTAGAGGCATCCAGATGGGGTCCGAGCAGATGGGGTCGAAGGATCGCGCAGCATCGCCGATGCATCGGCGATGCATCGGCAATGCCGCTGATGTATCGGAGGCGTCGGGGTGGATCAAATCGAGCTCGACCTCGAGCCGCATCACCGATGCATCGGCGATGCGGCGCGATTCTCCGACCCCATCCGCTCGGGCCCCATCTGGGAGGCCTGGCGGGACGCACTTCTCCGGGTCAGCGCAAACCCAGGTTGGCCAGGGCCCGCCGCTGCGTAGCTCCCAGCCCAGACCCCCTCGCTTCGTGAAAACAGTACGATGAAAAGGGCTTAGTGCTTGAGTGCTTGGCTTCCCAGGGACCTCTCCGGGCCTCGGGAGCGTCAAACAAACGACTGGCAGGCCTGGAGTTGACTACCTACCAGACCACCCCAACCCGACCCGAAGACCCGAAGTTCGGGTTGGGGGAGGTAAGGGCCTCATGTGTTTTTGTCCCCACGTTCCCCGACCCCCCCCCCACTGGAAATGGAAGGCACATCGGGGCCTTCGGGTTGGGTTGGGGTGGATTGGTGGGCGGGGCGGAGCTGCCAGGTGGTCCCAGGGCCCCGAACCCTGCGCCTCCCGAGGCTCGCTCGCTCCCCTGCCGCGGCGGGCACGCCCCTCCCACGCCCGAGGAGGGCCCCGACTCCCCGACGAGCGCCCCGGCCGCCAACGGCCCGCCGAGGCCGCCCGCGACGACGGTGCCCGACCTCGGCGGCGGCAGCCGCGACGTTCGTGGTGAACGCACAACACACGCACGCACGCACGCACGCACGCACGCACGCACGCACGCACGCACGCACGCACGCACGCACGCACGCACGCACGCACGCACGCACGCACACACACACACACACACACGCACACACACACACACACACACACACACCTACGGCAGACTCGCGCGGCGTCGGCGCGAGCAAAGGCTTTTGACGCCGCGTCGATCGTGCAGTCTCGAAGCGATCGCGGCTCCGACTTCCGTCGGGTCCAGCGGCGTAGCCGTGCCTCTCGGTGCTGCCGCGTCGCAGTATTCAAGCTTGAACGCCTTCGCCGGCGTCGCTGGCGCGCCAACGCCGCATGAACCTACCGTACCGATCGGGGGTGGACAGAGTTCGCTGTAGCGAAACGCCCTCTGGTGAAAGTTCCCAGCGGCATTCCACGTGCGCATGGCACCGCATTCGGAATGGACCCACGCGGAATAGCTAATCCACGTGTTCGGTATCCCGCAACACGCGCGTCGACTAGCGAAACCGACTGTGGACTGCACCAATTCACTCGAATGCCGATGTCAAGGAAACCAATGCAAATTCCCTCAGTAGACTTGTCTGAGTGGGCTTTCTCTTCATGCCTAACTCTACAGGGAGGATTGGCTATGGGTATGGGTGCGAATTGTCGGACCCCGGGCGGGGCCGCCGTCCCGGCTGGGAACACCATCCGACAAAACGCACACATGGCTTCAATGGTTCTCGAAAACGCTGGAGGCGTTTTTTGTTCCATGTTCAATTTTTTGACACGACAACATCGTTCTAAAAACGACACCCTGGAATGTGGACATCAAACAAGCGGCATGTTTGATACACGGGATGATCACGGAAAGAACACGAGCGGGTCGGCCACGAGCCGATCCGGGACCTGAAAACGTGACAGAAACGGCGCCTTAATCCGACAGCCATCGTCGATGTTGAAATCGGATGGACAGCCAGCGCCCCAAACGGGAAGAAGCCGTCTCACTCCGTCCGCCCCTTGTGGGAGCAGCCAATCCGTACAGTGCGGACGCACGATAAGGATGCGAGGGCCTGGAAAGTCATGTCGACGCTTTGGGAGCGGGGCGCGGCCAGCGTAAGCTGCCAAGGATGCGCCGAGGGGAAGGATGCAAGGGTGAGGTCGGGCGTGTCCTCCGACAGGCGGGTGATGGAAGAAACATGAAGAAAGGTCACAGCCTACTGTCTCACTGTTCTTGAATATTCCTCCTGTAGGGGGACATGCTCGACTTACGGAATGCAAGAGTAATCTTGGAGAGTTGCTCACCCTGATTGCGCGGGTTGACTGTCTACGGCAGGTTCGCGTCGCGTCGACCCCGGCGCTGGCTCCTGACACCGCGGGGATCGTTCCAACTTTGAACGATCGGCCCTTCCAAAAAGGCCGAACCGTTCCAGGATGGGCCGACTCTGGGCCACGGGCGGCGCTCAGCCCCAAACGCCCCCGCGCTGGGGCCGCCGCCGGTCGACGCGACGCGAGCCTGCCGCAAGGGATGCGCGGAGCTCGTTCCGCTCTCCCCGCGGGGCGCCTGTGGAGGGGCCCTGAGACACACAGAGAAATACACACAAATATAAAAGGATTCTACACATGTTGTCCCATATTTTCTGGGTTTTTTTGTCTTCCCCCCCACTCCCCATATTTTCTTATATTCTCCTGGGAGTCGACGACTACTTGTGTCTCTGTCTGTGTTTTTCCCCTCCCCGCGGGGCGCCTGTTGCCCCCGATCTCCGCGCAGGCCTGCGGGTTCGGGGCCGCCCCGCCGCCGCCGCCGCCGGGGCGCTCGCGCGCGCGCGCGCGGACGAGGACGGCGGCGCGCGGCGGGGCGCTGGGGGCGAGAGCGAAGGAGGAGGAGGAGGAGGAGGAGGAGGAGGAGGAGGAGGAGGAGGAGGAGGAGGAGGGCGCACGCCCTCGCCGGCGACGCGGACATCTGGCCCGGAAGCGGGGCCAAAACAGCGGAAGAAGCTGAAGGGGCCCCAGGGCACACAGATAAATACACACAGATACAACGATTCCCCCTAGTTTCCCATATTTTCGGGGTGTCTGTCTTCCCCCCCACTTCCCATATTTTTCCAATATTCTCGGGGAAGCGACGATTCATGGTGTCTGTGTGTTTTTTCTCCCCTCCTGAGAAGCCCCGTCGTTCGATCAAGTCCCCCGGGGAGGCGGGTGAGCAGGGTGGGAATGCAGGGCGCAAGCGCAGCGGCTCGCGGAGGGTCGGCCCTGAGGCCCCTTCCCCGGGAGGCGCGGCATATGCAAAACGCCCCCCTTCCGAGAGGAGCCCTGCTCAGTTTTCTTCCTCCTTTGCGCTTCTGGACTCGCTTTCGCTTGGGAGAAATGGGGGGGGAGGGGGGGGAGACGGAGGTACAGGAGGAGGAGGAGGAGGAGGAGGAGGTGGAGGAGGAGGAGGAGGAGGGAGGAGGAGGAGGAGGAGGAGCAGGCGGGGGAGGAGGAGGAGGTGAGGGTCAGGCGGAGGAGGAGTCGCGGAGAGGGAGGGAGGAGGAGGGGAGGAGGCAGGAGGAGCAGGAGGAGGAGGAGGAAGGAGAGGCGGAGGAGGAAGGCGTGGAGGGGGGAGGCAGGAGGAGGAGGAGGAGAGGAGGAGAGGCAGGAGGAGGAGGAGGAGGGAGGAGCGAGGCAAGGAGGAGCAGGCGGAGGAGGAGGAGGAGGAGGAGGAGGAGGGAGGTGGCGGAGGAGGAGGAGGAGGAGGAGGAGGAGGAGGAGGAGCAGGCGGAGGAGGAGGAGGAGGAGGGCGACGCGGCGGCAAGCTGACCAACATGTCCTTCGTCGATGACCTCACCGACTTCAACTCGACCACCCGCCACTCCGACATCATTGACATTACGAGAACTTCAGCCGAACGACTATGCCGTACAGCATTCACCTACGGGCTCAAGCCACACCCAGACAAGACCAAGGTCATCCTCTCCTTTAACGGGACGGGATCCAACGTCGCACGCAGTAGGCTTGCACAGCAGAACATTACATCAATCCAGCTGAGCATCATGTCGATCTCGGTCCAGATCACAGACCAGCACCGACTCTTAGGCACCATCCTCACCAGCGGCAGCATGGGCCCCGAGGTGCAGAATCGCATGCGACGAACCGACGCTTCGGCACGAGCTCTTGAGAGGCAAATCCTACGACGTCGACGCCTACCCCGCAAAACAAAGATCAAGTACGTGCACGCCCTCTCGACTGCCTCATTAACCTTCAACCACCACGTCTGGCCAGCACTGACCCAGACTGACCACCAGCGCATCTCCAATGCCTACTCGAAGCCCTATCGCACGGCAGCTGGAATACCCAAAGCTAACTCGCAGCTTCATCATTTCACGGCCACCGAAGTAGTAGCCTACACTGGCATCCCCGACTTCGACCACCACCAGTCTGCTGGAAGGCTGCGATACTTACCACGGCTTCTACGATACGCTCCTCAGCAGCTCCTCCAACTGCTTGACAACCAGCGACGGAGAAAGGGCTCATGGACATACATGCTTTTCCAGGACTTCGACTTCCTGCGCACATACCTGGACGACCAGCGCTGGCCCACGACCAGCAAGCTCGACTCCGACGTTTTTGCATGGGCACGCGCCACGCCGAAGCACTTCAGCAACTCCGTCAACCTGGCTGTCACAAACTACATACGCGCATCCAAAGACCGCGCCCACGCCGACAAGCTGACCAAGGTGCTCAGACCCGACGGTCCCATTGGTGCGGACCCCACGCCATCACGCGACAACGGCGCCAGCAACTTCATCTGCTACGAGTGTGGAATCGTTACCAAGACCAAGCAGGGCATGGCAATACATATCGGACGTGAACACCGACGACCTGAGCATCCGCGAAACTGGGCATCGGGTACATCGTGCAGAATATGCCGCAAGAACTTCCACTCCTTCGCCAAGCTCGTGAAGCATCTAACTACGGTCGCCCGCTGCCGACGGTCTTGGCACCTGTGGTATTTACAAGGGCCTGCCCTCACGGAAGAGGACGTGGCCACCAATCAGGCGACCTACGCAGCCAGCATAGCCGACAACAAACGCAGAGGCCGCCCCGAACTATACCACCCTATCCCTGCCCACGCATCCGACGTCACTCCCTTACCCTCCCTTGACCTTTCACCATCACCACCGCCATTCTTCCCGACGGTACCAGCGATTACACCACCACCACCAGCCTACTACCCTCGGACACCGACCAGAAACAGATCTCTGCTTTACCTCACCAACATTGACAGACACCCGAACGATCTGCTCGACACTACGGACCAACGACTATGCTACAATGGAATGGTGATGGAACGGGTTACTCTGACCTTCGATGACCTCTACTCTGTCGACCACCCATCTCAGTACGACGCCCTCGACTCGCTCCACCAGCACATACGACAAGGCGACTTTGCTGGAGTGATGATCAACCTCTCACCCAGCACGTGGATCGACCAAGTCGATGGCGACCCGCCCGACAGAACGGCAGCATCTTCCAGAACGACCACGGACCCCTGGGGCAGAGTAAACCTTGGAGGTGAGGCAGCCGAACGCCGATTGATTGCGAACCACCACGCCCGCCTCGCCATCCACACCTTCCACGCGGCTCACGTCGCCGAAGTACCAGCACTACTAGCGCAATCCTCAGCCCCAGCAGGTCCGTCAGTGATGTGGAATACTGAGATGATGCTCTACGCTACGGAGAACCTTGCTACGAGACGACCGACCATCATAGACGACGCCAGCAGCCTCTACGCCATCTACTTCGGCCTCTCCCAGGACCACGGTAATCCCCTCGACGACTTCGTCACCTCCATTTTGGGCAGTCTGCCCCAGCTTGGTCGGACAGCAGCCGCTGATCCGACGACCCGATCTGGCCGTAACATGGCCCAAGACGATCGAGACAGGCGCCCACCACGGCAAGACGGCCGCAGTGCTCACGGAGGCCGCCAGCCCCATCCTGGACGCCCCCTCGAGGGCGAGGGGGGGGAGGACTCGGTTCAGGCCTGACCGAACCGAGCCGCCGCCGGCGGGCCGCCGCCTGCGCGCAGGCCGTCACGGGGGTTTTTTTCCCTTCCTCTTCAGGCCTTTAATGAGCCCCCTCTTCCTCCTTCCTCGTCCCCGAAACTCCTGGGCCCGTTTTCTCGGTCCTTTTCGGCCCCCGCCCCTCTGGCGGGAGCATGTGTCGGGGGGTGACCCCCCCCCACGCGCCTCGGGCGCGCGCGCGTAGCTTCGGCCGCGCGGACGGCTGCGTCCAACTGGACATCGAGCCGATAGCGATAGCGATAGGAGGGCGACGGCGGGGCGCGACCACAGGACCTCACGCGAACGGGCTTGGCTGGGCGACCTCCGGCCTCTCCCCGGCGGCCGAGGCCGAGGCCAAAAGCCGTGCGAGGGGCCTGCTGCACACACGTCTGGCGGCCGGCCCCGTTCGAAACAGGGGCCCCCGAGTCTCTCGACGGCCTCCATGGGGCCCGCGTTCCATCCCGAATCGCGTTCAGCGCAGGTGGTCTCGGGCCCCGAAGCGGGCCCCTGGAGGCCGAACGTGTGAAGCAACGCCCTTGCGGATTCCGCAGGCGCGCTGGCAGCCCCTGGCGAGGCGCCCTGCGCTGGCCGGGCAAGCCTTGCGCGCGTCTCGCGCCGCTTGATTCCCTCGTCGAAGCCGCGCCGTTTCTGTTGCATCGCGGCCTGTTCTCACACGAGCGACAAAAAGACAAGTTCCTTACACGAGACGGCAGAGCGACCTCAAGCGGTGGCGTACGCGGGCCGCCAGCGCAGTACGCCACATTGGAAACGAGGGCGCTTACGCGCGACCTTACGCGAGCAGCTTCCGCGCCAACGTTGGCGCAGATGGCCCCAGTTTTCTGCGTCGTTCATTCTTCGGTGAGTCATGTCCAGGGCCGCGCAGCCGCCGTCTGGCGCATACGACCAAATCAAAAAACTGTTGGGGTAGAACGCCCGCAACGACCATTGAGGACAGACATTGGAACCAGACCTAAGAATTCGGTGTAGTCGTAGTGGTGGTGGTGGTAGTGCTGGCGGTAGTGGACATGGTGGCGGCAGTGAACGTGGAAGGAATTGTGGTCGTGGTGACGGTGGTGGCAGTGGAACTAAAGGTGGAACTGAAACCGAAAGTGGTAGCAGCGTCAGCGGCAATCAGTCGTTATCGGGTGGGTGGGCAGCCACCCGCTGCTCCCTCATCCCCCATCCCTCTCCCACCTCAGAAGGTAAATTAAGGCTCCTCGCAGACCGATGCTTCAACGATCTGGGGAGAAACTTGATGTGCGTCCCCTCGGCACGCCACTGATTCGAGGGCGCCAGCGACGGTGCCTGTCGGCATACGTCGGTGCACGGCCGAGGAACGTCCAGGGCTCCCGCGCAACCACCTCAAGCTATTTCTGAGCAGTGAAACCTTGCCTCTCGAACTCAAGGTAGCCAGCGGGCGCGCGGACCAGTGAAGACAGCCGTCTCCTCCTTACCGAAGTAGGCTCGAGCACTGGGTCACAGATCGCAATCATCAGCCTGCGAACCTTACAATCAAAAATTTTCGGTGTGAACAAGCTTAAGAAGGAGCTGGGGATGCACACAACCTGGTTCGTACTTATCTGCAAACTCCTGAAGGATTGCCTGCTGCGGTGCGTCAGCGCGGCTCATAAGAACGGACACGCACCTGTGAACATGCAACTGCCTGGAGCTCGGAGGCCGTGACCCGTCATGCCCTTCATCCTGGACAGGTGCTCACTGCCACGATCAATGTTCATTGCAACGTAGATGGGGTCGGCAATTATGATCGAGAACTAAATCGCACAAGCCGCCTCAAAAAGGCGGTCCCTCTGGGCATTGATACCACAGAGCTTGATGGCGAGATCTGCTTTCTCCTCAGCGGTGCCGTCCTCGACGGCCTGTCGTTTGCGAATCTGGACGCCTGGATCAGTGGCAGCCGCGGGCTTCTCTCCGATCTTGCTGAACCACTTCAGGAAGAGGAGGAGGAGGAGGAGGAGGAGGAGGAGGAGGAGGAGGAGGAGGAGGAGGAGGAGGAGGAGGAGGAGGAGGAGGAGGGGGAGGAGAGAGGAAGAGGAGTGAGAGGAGGAGGATGAGGAGGAAGAGGAGGAGGAAGAGGAGGGAGGAGAAGGAAGAGGAGGAGGAGGAGGAGGAGGAGGAGCGAGAGGAGGAGGAGAAGGAGGACGAAGACGAGGAGGCAGGGGACCCCACCCGCGGGCCGCCCCCTGCGAGTGCAGAGCGCCGCGGCGCCCGCTATAACCCCCCCCCCGCCCGCCCACTCCTCGCCTTGGCGCGGATCCCGAGGACGGTCCAGCCGTCCGCCTGCGCCCCCCGCGCCGCCAGGGCGCGCCGCAGGCCGCCCGTGGCCCCCGCGGGCCCGCCGCCCTCGAGCGCGGCCGCCGCGCGCTCCGCGTCCCGCTGGCGCGCCCCCGGCCCCAGGCGCACCGCGAACTGCGCCGCCCACAGGCCGGGGGGCCCCGGCCCCCCCCGCAGCAGCCGGCGGCCCTCCCCGGCGGCCCGTCGCGGCGGCCGCGCCGCCGCACGCAGGCGCACCTCGACGCGGCGCGGGTCCGCGCCGGCGAGGGCCGCGAGGCCCGAGCGCAGGGCCGCGGCGCTGGGCGCGGAGGCCTCGCGCGTGGAGAGCTCCAGGCTGCCGGAAACCTGAAGGGGCAAGGTCGGGGTGGGGGGGGGCAGCTCCTCCTCCAACTTCCAACCTCCTCCTCCTCCCTCCTCCTCCTCCTCCTCCTCCCTCCTCCCTCCTCCTCCTCTCCTCCTCCGCCTCCTCCTCCCTCCTCCTCCTCCTCCCCTCCCCCTCCCCCTCCTCCTCCTCCTCCTGCTCCTCAGGGGGGGGGTACTCCAGATTTCGTAATAAAAGGGAGGGGGTCTGGACCCTCCAAGACAAGCCATTTCAGACCCCCCCTCGTGGGAGAACCCTCCAAAACATCGTCCCCAGACCACCCCAGGCCCTCCAAGATAGCTTGGAAAAGACCCCCCCCGAAATGAGACCCCCCTCCCTTTATTACGAAATCTGGAGTACACCGACAGATCGGCGATAGGCCCCCGATCGCAAATCCGCACGCTCCTCTGGGCGGGGTGGGCCATCGGGCCAATAAATCGGCGAGCAGTGGGCGATGGGGGGTCGATGCATCCCCCCCTGATCCCATCCCCTCCTATCGGTGCTGGGGAGACCGAAACGTACTGATACCGCTATAGTCCCTTGACCTCTCCTTGGGTTCTTCCTGACCAGACATTCGACGCGAATCCAGCAGTGGCGACGAGGACCTCCCAGGAGGCCCCCAAAGGTGAAAACTAGGCATGGGCAGCGGTGTGGGTACCGTAGCTGCTCGGATACGCAACACGCAACACATAGCGTATCGATACGGAGCTCAACACGCAGACCCAACACGTAGGTATGACGCGATGCGTTCGCCAAAACGGGGGCCCATACGCTGAAACAACACGCAACGTCTTGACACGGAAGCTTTGAACACGGTACGCGTTGCGTTTCAAAACGAGCGTATCGAGCAAGATCCCAGAGATCCGACGTCGTGATTTTTGCAATGCGGGGTCCCCGGAAGTCAAGACCCAGTCCCCGGGACCGGTTTTCCATCCTGAGTCGCTTTGTTGAAGGGGCCCTACACAACTAAATACACACACAAATGAGAAGCTTCCCTATATTGTCCCACATGTTCTGGGATTTTATCTCCCCCCTCTTTCCATACTTTCCCATGTGTTTTCGGGGGCATCGACGATCCGCTGTGCCTGTGTGTGTTCTTTCCCCTCCCGACCTGTGCGACGGCCAGGGGGGCACGGCGCAGGCCCCCTCCAGTGAGGCCGAGAGCTGCGAAGAGAAACCTCCGCCTTGCCTTTCCGAGGGCTCCCAACTTCGCGCTCTCGCGCTCCGCGAAGCGCGAGGCGCGAATAACTTCGCGCTCTCGCGCCGCCCCCCCCAAGGGAGAAAAGGAGGGCGAGGAGGAGGGGGAGGAGAAACGAGGACCGCGAAGCGCGAAGCGCGAATAACTTCGCGCCCTCGGGGGAGCCCTTGCTTTCCCCACGTGCTGGCCCTCTGGGATGGCTGCCTCTGAGCAGGCCCAGACCCCCTCGAGTAATGAAAAAATCATGACGGGAGGTTTTTCCTAATTTTCGGCCTCGGGGGGCCCTCACCGGGCCTCGGGAGTGTCAAAAAACGACTCAGGATGCAAAGCCGGTCATGGAGAAAGGGTCGGGACCTACGGGGGTCGACGTAATGAGAAAATCATTACGTCGGGGGTCTGGGGGGACCGACCGTCCCGGCATTCCTATAGTCCCACCACGAAAAGTTCTTAGAGCCCAGAAATGTTCTCAGAACAAAAACGATGTTCTTAGATCATCAGCCCGATGTGTGAAACCAAGACAGGCTCCGCCAGAAATGTTCTGAGAGCATTTCGTGGAGACCACAAAAGGTTTTAAGAACATTCTTTGGTGGGACTATAGGCGAGCCGGGACGCTTCGCCACTGCTTGATACCTCTTCTTCCCTTCGGCGGTGGACGAACCTCCCTTTCGTAAGCCTCCCCTTAGTGAACACGGCCTGGGACCGAAACCCGCGGACCCGGACCCGCAGACCATGGACGGCCGCGACGCCTCCTCGCGCACCGAAAGTGGCCCATTCCTTAACATCGACGTGTCAGGGCATAGGAGGTCTACAGTCGAGGCGTTGACCTGAGGAATCCTAAATAAGGAACCAGGCCCCTTTCTCCCATAAGTTCAACCTCGATTTCGCATGGAAAACCAAGGAAAACCCGAGGCAAACCTTGAAACAGTCGAGGAGCACGGAGCCCCTCCCCAACGAAAAGGCTTCCTTCTTCAGGGCCCCGACTGTATAGCCACCTCCGATCCCTCCCCGGAGGCTGCCCCGATGGGAGGGCCTCCGGCGCGCCCCGGGCGGCGCCGGGCGGCCAGCCCGCGCCGAGCGGCCCGCCGGGGCTCCCCGGGAGGAGCCCCGCGGCCGAGGCGGCCGCCCACGCGAGCAGCAGCAGGCCGGCCCCGGCGGCGGCCCCGAGGGGGCCCCGGGCGCGCGGCGGCGGCGGCGGGGCGCTGCGGGGGGGCGCCAGCGGGCCCTCGCACGGAGGGCAGGAAGCCCCTGGCCCCCTCGCGCTGTGAAGGAGACAAGGAAACTGAAGGGGCCCCAGGACCCACAAAAAGGAATGCACACAACTGAAACGATTCCCCATAGGTTCCCATATTTTGTCAGCTTTTGTCTTCCCCCCCACTTCCCTATTTTCCCACATGTTCCTCGGAGTGGACGATTAATTGTGTCTGTGTGTTTTTCCCCTCCTGCGAAACTCAGGGCGGAGGTGCTGGGCCATGAAGCCCAGGCCTTATGTTGCTCCCGTCCTACTTAAGGACCGCATCCCAGAAATCATGTCGAGCAGCCGGGAAAAGTATCAAAAGAGTGTCGCAGCAGGGTCCAAACAGTGACGGGCGAGTGTCTCCCAGGGCCCGACATGCGAAAACCCCCTTGAGATTCGATGCTTTCCTGGGCGCTCGCAAGTCTTCCTGGTGACCAATGCTGAAGCAGGTTGGAGCATCATAACCCAGGCCCCCCTCGCGCTGTGAAGGAGGCAAGGAGAAAAGCAGGGCGGAGGTGCTTTGGCCAGGGTCGGCCTCCCTTCGGGGCCCTCGCGGCGGGCCCAATGTGTAAGGAGAAGAAGTGGAGGAGGAAGAGGAAGAGGAGGAGGAGGAGGAGGAGGAGGAGGAGGAGGAGGAGGAGGAGGAGGAGGAGGAGGAGGGGAGGGAACATATGGCTTGGTTCTTCCAATCTTTCTGGTGCCTCCGCATTTCTCAGCGAGGCATGGCTCCCAGAGGGCTCCGTGGCGAGCCGCTCCGCGCCCGGGAGCACTCCAGGGCCCCCAGGAGGGCCGTCCGAGAGCGGCTCGGGAGGAAGGGCCGGTCTCCAGCGGGAAGGGGCCTCGGGGGACTTCCGGGGTCGACGTGGTGAAGAAAAAAAAATCGCGGCGTCGGAGCTCTGGGCTATATGGGCACCCCGACCAGCTTCAGGCAGTTCATAGGGGGAGA